CCCCCCCCCCCGGGGGGGGCTAATCAAGAAGCACACACAAAAAAAATGGGTGACGTCAAGCTGGGGCCGAACCTGCGAATCAGGAGTCAGCTCGGCCACGCCCCACCGCGGCACGGCTGCCAATGAGGAGCACGAGCGGACCCATCCGCTTCCCCCGTGGCAGCAGCTGTACGGCCATGGCGGAGGCGGCGGTGGCGGAGAGCATGGAGCGGGAGGGCACCCGCGAGCGGCCGGCGGAGCTGATTCCGCCCGTGGATCCGGAGGCGCTGGCGGAGCTGGCGGCGCTGGGCGCGCAGTTGGCGGCGCAGGTGGACGAACTGCTGCGGAGTCTGCGCGCGGGGCTGGCGGCACGGACGGCGCTGAGCGTGGGCTGTATCCATGCGTACCGCGACGGCGCGGAGAGCCTGGGCGAGGCGGCGGACGCGGGCGTGCGCGCGCTGTACACGCTGGTGGCGCGCTGCGAGGAGCTGGACCGCGCCATGCAGCCCGTGCCCGCGCTGGCCGCGCGCATCCGCTGCCTCAAGGGCGCGCTCGACCGCCTTGACGCGCTCTGCAAGTAGCAGCCCCTCGGCCCCGGCCCGCCGAGCTCCTGCTTTTTACCCCCGCGCAGCCGATCTAATAAATTGCTGGTGTTTTGAAGCGGGCTGTGCCGGTGCTCCCGTTCGTCCCCTCTTGCCTGGGAAGCCGGGCTGCGCCGGGGGAAGCCTTCCTGCCTCCGAGCCTGGGGCTTCTGCTCTGCTCTCCCCGCAAGCTGCTGCCACCTCTTTTTCCTGTGCTAGACACCTTAGATTAACCGGGGAGTTCAGTGGTTGCTGAGCTGTCATTCAGCTTGGCCACTGCGCTCTTCCCTGGCGGTCTTCTCTGGGCGAGCGCCCTCCAGCCACCCTTTCACCTCACTCTTGGCAGTAGTACAGCCATCATGACCTGTGTGGGGCTTTCCATGGGGAGCTTGGCAGCGCAGGTTGCTCTTGCTGTGCTTCTCACCAAGTTCTGCCTTCCAAGCTTGCAGTGGGAGCTAAAATCTCTTTCTCTTCCTAACACGCCTGCTTTCAGCGGCCAAGAAGGCAGCTTTGCGGCACCTTACAGTTGAACGAATGCATCCCCGTGTTCCTTGTAGCAGGTGTGTTAGGCCAAGCCAAAACTACAAGTGTTGGAGAATGATCCTCCTTGCATTCTTGGGGCAGGTGTGCCTTCTGGCAGGATGGAAGGCTACATTAGAAACTAGGCTAGACGTTGAAAGATAAAGATTAGAAATGAAATGGTCTTCCGAGCATTAGTTATACTTCACCGTTGTTCAGGGAAAAGCTAACACAAGACATGGATGTAGGGATGTGGGATTTTTTGCTAATTACTGGAGTACAATAGCAGCATCTGTGTAGCTCTAGCAGGAGCATTAACATAGGCTGAATAACATTTGTGGTTTTTACCACAGTGTGGTCTAACTGCTCACATCGGGTCAAGACAGGCCAGAGGTACAATAGTGGCAGGGAGAGCCAAGTGTTTCAATAGCTGTAGTAGGAGATCATGGTAAATTTATGAAGAGCGTCTGCAAGCAAAAGGACTGAATTCTGAGGGTGGTAGAAAGAAAATAAGCTGTCCTATCCTCTTTCCCTTCTGCTACAGTAACAGGTCCCATTTCTGATGCTTTTGTGTGGCTACTACACTACCCCCTGATATGGAGAAAAGCGGCTCAGACCTAAAGTTCCCCAAATGATTTCTAGACTGTCTAGCTTTTGCTTTCTCAAACATGAAACCAAGTTCTTTAAGAAACCAAAATGACCTTATTAATTCTTGGTGCATAGTAGAAAAAATCTTGCTGCTGGATTACAAAGCAGCAGCAATTATTAACTATGATTTCTAGCAGCAGCTACATTTCCACCTTTTTCACTGCCAGCTGTACTTTATCTTTTCAAACTGGGCCTCAGCTGGCTTTGTTACTGAAGTAAACAGAAGATGGAAGCTAAGTCCTGCTGTTGCAAACGGTACTGTACAGCTGCCTGCTAACAGACCTCTAATTACCACTCACCACGCCAGTGAGCCAGCTGACATGAAACTATTTCTAGCTCATACAGATACTAGTTACTGGATAGTATGCAAAACAATGCATAAACAAATGTGCTTTGAAGTTAAATTTTGTTTTATGTAATTTTTTATTTCTAGCTGACTTCTTTGAAAGTTCCTACATTACAGTGTTTATTACAAGTATAATTAAGTGAATATGCAGGGCAGGATTTTTCCATCTCTTACAAATTATTAGTATGAGACAGGTTAATAGGTGAGCTTACAGTTCACATTCTCAAACTACTGATTTATTCCAGTGCACAAATGCAATTTTCCATCCATCTATTCTATAGAATTACACCTTCAAAATGTTTGGTGAATGTGAAACCACCTCAAGGAAGAGGAGAGTTCGAATAATTTTAGTATTGAAATTAACATTCATACTTTTGGATGTAATCAAGATTCAGATACGAGAAAATGTTATATTAAAATGGTAAGATAAAAGGGTAATCTTTAGTCTTAGCACAGTGCCCACGTTTAACTGGTGTTTCTGGGTTTATGAGAGAGGGTATGTAAATGGATGAGTCTATTTTCCAGACAAAATTACTAATTATATGGAAAATATGCACGACAGAATTACAAAATTATTTGCTGAAAGCTTTGTTAACACAAACAGGTGAAAATTGGAGAGTGTAGGGCTATTAGGCTGGAGTAAACTAATAAACAGCGTCTACATGTGCAGTGCTGTGGAATAAAAAACTCCACAGCAGAGTAGTATTTGTACTACTGTCCCAGCTAGCCCTGCACTGGAGCACCCCACCAGTCAGGGTTGCTCTAAGCCAGGTCAACATGCTGCAGTCCCAGGTGTGTGTGTAGATGCAAAGCCTGGGAGCAATACATTCTGGTATGATACGCACTAGAATGTATTGCATGGCATTAATATGCACATGTAGATGAGCCCACAGAAAGGGATATTGCTGCAGCTAGTTAATTATGAAAACCAAAATGCAGCTCTACAATTTGTCAGGTATACCTGTGGAGTTTATTACTTTACTCCAGCCTAATAGCCCTACACTCTCCCTGAGTGCCATCCTCCCTCCCCTTGCTGCCTTTGCTACTCTGCTTTCTGCTCCCTGCCCTGCCACTGGGCTGCCTGTTCTCTCCTTGTTCTGCCATGCGTAAAAACTGGCTGTGGTATTTGTAGTATAGGTTGGCCACTCCTGTTTAAAAGCATCATGCAAATCATGAAATGTGGGCAGAGGATGGGTGAGCCCCCTGAAAGGGAATATTCTACATTAATACTACACCTTCAAGGTATTTCTATCAGGATCATTTTGGTCTGTTATACAAGTATAGTAAAACCTTAGTCTTGTTAAGTATGAGCTACTGTCAAGATCTGTGTTAAGACCCTGAGCCTGCAAGCTGATCTGGGCTGTCCGATCCTTACACCTACAGCTGCAGTGTGTGCAGACAGCTCCAGTTTTGCTCCAATTGCTTTAGCCCACTGGTGGGTTTCCAGAATATGACATTTGCAGTTGGGCTGTAAAAACTGCCAGATCTGCAGAATGAAACAGCTTTTATCACATTTTCCATCATTAGAAAATATTGATAAAATATAGGAAACATACTTCTATGCATTTTAAATGGTGCTTTTCTTGCTAGTAAAATAGGGTTGAGTAACTTGAGTCATGATCCTGCCTGCACAGAGACCCATTAACTTGATTGCAGAGTTGGGTATTAAGGCTTGTGCTTCTGGCAGTATTTTCTGAAAGGGATGTCATTCCTGTGATGAAAAAGAGTTGATTTGTTAATCACAGGCATGATGTAATAGTAATATGTACTGGTTTTATATTGCCAGCTTGAGTTATTACAGAAGAATATTATAAATATTGTTTGCGGGGGGTGGTGCTTCTTTGAGATGATTACAGCCTTGGTCTCAGAGAGTGCCCTCCCAAAGTCAGCTGAGGTGTGGCTTCTAGAGCAGGGTGGAGGGCCTAGGCACTTTCCCACTTGAGACCCTAGCCTTTGAGTCCCTGATCCACCCTGGTTTTCTGTGGCCCCAGCTCAAAAATGAAGAGTTCCACTCCTGAGACAAGAGCCCGACTTCTTATTAGGGAGACCACATGGAATTCAAAGTTTCAAGCAACAAACTGATAGCTCGCTTCAATAGAGGCATTTATAGAGGCAAAGACCACCAAGCTAGACGTTCTGTGTCCCCGCCTCCACAGAGTTAAGCAGCCCCCAACCCAGAGTACCCCCAAAGATTTTCTAATGTTTTCTTTCCAGTCTGTTACACTCTCAATCCCAAAGCCCCTCTTCTGCTTTCTGACTCCCAATTATCCCACCAAGAGCTGCCAACTTGATTATTCAGCCACATCTCCAAGTGTCATATTTATCTCAGTCTCCTCTGGACCCCTTTTGGTTGTTATCTGTAATCCCCAACTTTTTGTTGTAGTCATCAGAGCTAGAGCTATTCAAGTCTTTTGTAGAACTTGTCTCCTGTCAAGTAGAGAAAGGTAGTTAGCCATGGGCGTGTTTACACATGTGCTTTAATGTGCATTAGCCTATATTAATGCACATTAAAAGTCACAAAAAACCCCTGGGTGCCTATACATAAGCAGCAAGGCTGCTCCGACTTGCTGTAATTACCATGCTTCAGCAGATTCCAGTGTCTCATGTATCAGTGTCCCCACACTTAAAAATGGTGGTGGGGGTGCTTTAACTAAAGCTAATTCGATTAGCTTTAGTTAAAGCACCCCCACTGCCATTTTTAAGCAGGGCGCTGATGCACAAGATGCTCCAGTGCTCTCAGAGCCACTCTAATTAAGGTGCCCGCCACCTCACTCCCATAGTACGTGTATAAATGCCCTGTGAGCTTTTGCTAATGCATCTTAAAATAGACTACTGCTTCTTTTTCTAGTACTTCACAGAGGAGGTACTAAATTTAATGCGCACTAGCAAAAGAACATTAATGAATGTGTAGACATGCCCCATGAGTGCCTGAAGTCAGGCAGAGGGCAGGGTAGACTTGCGCCTTATAGACTTAACTAATAAGAGATGTATGTGTCTCTATAAATCTGTAAGGTGCAAATCTACCCTGCCGTCTGTCAAGTAGCTGTTGGCACTGGATTTTTGACCCAGAACAAACACTCAGACAGACCATGACTTTTCATTTGATAGTAGGCAAACTGTATTGATACATGGTGATAGCAGATAAGAATAATGCAGGCAAGGGAAATAAAATACACCTTCTCCTCCCGCTCAAATTTTGTATCTACTAGCGGGTTTACAGAGGGAAGGGACTTCTGGCCAGTATGTGAGCTTTACTCTGTGTGTGTGGGGGTTTTTTTATGTTAGATGTTAGCATCCTGGAGGTCCGGGGCCAAGCCCTCACCCACTGGCAGTGGCCCTCTGCTCATGGTCACCTTGGGTTCCCTTTTTGGGTACGCTTTACTGCTCTGAATCCCTCCTTTTGTATTTTTTTTCCTTCTGATGACTTTTTAGTCCCGGGCAGTTTTGACTGGTTTCTCTGTGCTGGTCATACTGCCCACATTTTGTCCTGTCAGCATATTTTTTGTTTCCCAAATGCATCATATGCACACATCTTAATTTGGTCATGCCCCAGCCTCCTAATTTGCTCCATCCACCAAAACCGAAAATCCCAAAGGCTCTGCAGCTGGTCACTGTGACCTAATGGCACCTTATCTCTGTTATGGGTACACTGCTCATGTTTTAATTTCCTAGCCTGTTTGTCTGTTAGCTTTGGACACAGTGGGCCCCGAGGGAAATTTTGTCACAAATAGGCTTTAAAAAACCAATTAACCTTTGCCATTACCCTGGACCAGTGTTCTACTACTTATCTACTTTACCTACAAGCCAATTCCCAAAATCAAATTTTTGAATTTCTTTTTGCAGCCATTAGTAGCTACCGACTAACTCTCTTTAATTCATTCTTTTCCTACTGTATAAGTTAGCTGGGGAAACTGGCACATGTAACATTATTTCAACATGAACACAGCTAAAAACAGCAATAACCCCAATAGTCCAGAACACATGCTTTCATTGTAAATAACATTCCTCTTCTGAACTTTTCAAATTAATCAGGCTGGAAAAATTAGCATTTGGTTCTGTAAATTAACAAGTATCAGAATGCTTAAATGCAAGGCAGAACCAAAGTTGCACAGGCTGTCTTAAACCTGACATTTCTCAGCTTCTAGGTGCTTGACTTTGACTATGTTCTTTTAACACAGGTTTTGATAAAATGGTTGTAAGTGATGAGACATTTAGACTCATTACTGACTACAAGAGTTTCTGAGGCTGTTTGTTTATTTCCATCACCCAAGAAAGGTCATAATCAATCTACCTTACAGTGTATTTATCTTGTTCTTCTCTTCTGATTTGCCTTAAATTAAGTGATATGAAAACAGAATTAGCAAGGTCAGAGAATGAAAGAAATATACAAACCTAAACAAAAGGAGGTTGGGACTTGTGGGTCTTCTTCTAGTGTTTCAGAGCTTTGTTTGGACATCTAAAATATATTTTTTTATGTTGTGATACCTTTACAAAGGAAAAAAAATACAAAAGAAAAGAAAAGAATACCTTATTCAGGTCAAATTTCAGGTTTAAATAATGAAGTTTCCTTTTTTCATGATGCTGTTGTCTCATTCTTGTACGGTGAATTTTTTTTTCAATCTATTGTAGGTTCTTTCCCTCTTACTTGGTTCCAAATGCAAACTATTTAGTGAGAGTTAACAAATAAAGCCTTGTTACATCTGAAGAAAAACAAAAATCTAAAGTGCAAGTGAACTTACCTGACATTTCAGCCTTATGGCTTTTTTCAGGGTTGCCCATTTGAATCTGTTGTTCAGTAAGTAGTATGCCAAGGCAGTGATTAAAATGTTTATTTCCTTCTCATTTGATTTTTGTCTTTCCTACCAGGCAGTTACTAAAATAAGTAATTCCTTTGTTCAGAATGCTCCAGTTTAGGATTGTGCTTCATATCAGTAAGATTCCTAACTTGGTTATTCATTGCTCGAGGGATAAATCATAGAGCTGCATTTTGGTTTTCAAAATTAACTAGCTGCAGCAGTATCCCTCTCTGTGGGCTCATCTACATGTGCATATTAATGAAATGCAATACATTTTGGCACATATTGTACCAGAGTTTATTGCTCCCAGGCTCTGCATCTACACACACACCTGGGACTGGAGCATGTTGAGCTGGGTTGGAGCAGCCCCAAGTGGCAGGGGGCCCTGGGGTCAGCTGCCAGCCTGGGGCTGCTCTGACCTGGCTCAAT